ATATATATATATATATATATATATATATAGTGATAAATTTTTAACCATTTAATTATTTTTTTCTTTTTATTTATTTTTATATATTTTCGTGTAAGAATAAATCATGATCGATCTTTGAAAAATTTTAAACAAATACAAAAACGATTTAATTTTGAATTGAATAAAATTGAATATTAGATTTTAAATTCACACTTTTTTTTTAACTTCTGTTTCAATTTAAATCAAACTGCTTATAACTTAATGAAGAATGTCATCGAACGAAATTTTTCGTATCAAATTTTATGTTCGTTTGTTTAATATCAATCTATCTATCGATGATCACAAATATTCTATCGATACAGAGTGCTAAAGCATATATATATATATGTATTTGAAGAGTCTATTCTAGAAACGAAAACAAATGCAAAAGTTTGTATATAAAAATACTATTTATCAAGTTATAAACAATCGAAGTTTACATTAAATAAAGCAACATGAAAATAGTGATGACGATGTGATAGAGAACGCTACTTCGATTCAAACCTTCCAAAGGTGTTGGGCAAATATATTAACACTCTGTATACATCAATTACCAAATTATTAAACAATGATATAAATATATCAAAATAGATGTAACGAAAGTCGATAAATTTAAACTTTTCTCTAAATAAATTTTCTATATCTATATAACACAATCTTTCTTCAGAAATTTTTTTTGTATGGAAAAATTTTTTCCCCACGAAATTGATGAATGGAACGAACGCAGATGTAAAACGACATGTAAGTTGTACACGCCAAATCGTTTCATTCGAATTGCAAATCGAATTCCAAAGCCAATTTCCCTTTAAAATTACGCAAAACTACGGTAAAACGTGCAATCCTTATGTAACTCGGAACCTTTCACGCTGAAGAAAATCTATGTCAATGACGCCAAGTCTAACAACGTGTAAAAAAAATTGTTGGAATTGAAAGAAAGCGAGGAACGAGCGTGAATCTTTTTCTCCCAATTTCTTCTTTTCCTTTAAAAAAATCGTAACACCTTTTCCGCGTCGAGAGATGAATAAAAACGATGATTCGTGGTGTGATAAAAAAGAAAAAATGTTAAATTAAAAAAAATTTTGGAGATACAACTCGATGAGAAAGAAAATAAAAGTGTTTATTAATTATTTGTCAATAAAACAAACAGATAATAATCATATCTTGCGAATTTTAATCGGACAGAGATTCGTCTCGATTTGCAACCTTGATAGTCTGTTAAGCATAAGCGCATTGGAATTGGATGGAGGACACGTTTTAAATTACGAGTTTTAAATTACAGTACGATAAAGCATAATTGGATAATCGTCAACCTGAGTGCCGTTAACTCGATTCTAAATTAAAAAAAATTTTGGAATTTTGCTCGAGAGTTATCTCTCGATCGAATTAATAAGATACAGATTATAGATTAGATTCGTTCACTTGTTAACTCTCTCAGTTACATTGCACGAATCATGTTTTGGTCAATCGATAAATTCGATCGAGATCTCTCGTGTAAGTACAATTTTTAATCAATTGATTTAAGAGGCGATCTAAGTATAATATTGATATTACTTAACGCGTTCAATCTGATAGATCTAACAATCGAATGCTTTCTTTTTATACATTTTGATATTTTTTTAAAGTCTGAATAGGATATACGAACGGATATATGTATAAAGAGTTTGCAAAAATGTAGAGAAACATCGATGAAACTGAGTTTATCTACGACGCTCTGCTCACAATGCACTCTGCCAATGTCTCTAATTTTCAAGGCTCTTCTCGAGCAAATAGAGAGCAAATAGAGAGAAGAAGATCCGCCATGGTCTATTGATATTGGCATGTAGGATTTTTCCTTGGATTTTTCCCAATTTTATTGTCTGGTTCGGCACGTTACAGATATTTGAAAATTCTTTTTTACTCTTTGCAAAAAAACTTGTAACGCCGATAGAATAAAAAATTATGTTCGTGTCATTCGCATTGAATTGCAAAAAGATCTGATATTTTTGTAAAATATGCTAATACTATTAAAATGAACAATTATTAATTAATTATTAAAAGTCATTAATTAAAAATATATTAATATACTAATATTAAAAATCACTGATACGATGAAAAAGGTTGAATTGTATAAAAATAAGAAATAAGAAACAATTATTTTTATTATCTTCAATTTTATTCGATTATTTGATTTACACAGAAACGAAACTAAAGAATTCGAATCACTTAATTGCACACTTGCTCGAAAAAACGATTAAAAAATTACAATTTTAAATGAAACGATAATTTGAACGATTCGAATTGTAAGAAAAATTAGAACTTCGCTTACAAGATTCTGCTAGGAAAAAGTGCAAGCAAGAATAATTTCTAACTGTATCAAATATTGGAAATTTTTCAGAAAATACGATTCTTAAAAAGATATTCTTCGATCTCGAGAAAAATGAATTGAATCAATTAATTTGATCTCTCTGAATATATATATATATAAGATATAAATTCGACGTTTATTTTTGTAACGTCCACCATTTTGGTTCACGTTCCAGGAACGATGGAAAGATGTCGCAGGCTGATTTAAACGGCACCTCTGAGAATTATCCAATATCGAAACTTCGCCAAGCATTTCCACAATTCTGCGCAGTCAGCGCGAAAAATCTATTGATGATCACATTTGGATCCACTTTGGGATTTTCCACCATCCTTATCCCCGAGTTGCAGAAGGACAACGCCGAGATTCCAGTTTCCATGGAGGAATTAACGTGGATCAGTGAGCATCTCGTTTACCTTGCTTCTTACGAAACAAAGCAAAATTATCGAACGTGAATACTACTTTGTTTCCCCGAACGATATTTCATTCAAACAATAGAGTTCTTATTCAAATTGTAAACAATTTTCTTTTTTTTTTAACAAAATTATCTATATATTTACATATTATCTACGTATATTATGTAATTTTTATTCCATACGCGATAAAGGCAAAATAATTTAAGAGTCGTTGATATTATTCTGTTCTATATAGTTAAATCATGTGTAGGCAATAAAATTATAAACGAGGATACGCAAATAATAAAATTAACTTGATTCTGTTCAGAAGAATTTTCCTTTTAACAATAATTGCAATTTTACGGTAGTAAAGATATAAACGAGGACAAGAACTAGCAACTTAAGGAGAATTTTTCTTTTTAAGCAATTTTAATACGGAATGTAATAAATTAAAGGGAGAAAATAGACTTAATTTTTAAAATAAAATGTTCAGTTCTAATGAAATTTCATATTCTAATAAACCTCCTATCAAAAAAATTGTAAACATAAATTTTAATCGTTGCAAAAATTATGTTTGTTCTACGAATTTTCAATAAATAAAGAGAGAATCTAAATCGTTTAAACAATACATTTTCTTTTTACCAATATAGGTAGTCTGAACTTGTTCCTGGTCCCAATTGGTTGCTTTGTCAGCGGGCCAGTATCGCAATTCATAGGACGAAAAAGGAGCATGATGCTTACCACACTCCCATTCGTGGCAGCCTGGGTTATTTATTATTACGCCACAACAGCTGGAATGTTATTCATAGCATTGGCCATGACGGGACTAACAGGAGGCCTCCTTGAAGCACCTGTGATGACCTACGTGGCGGAAGTGACGCAGCCCCATTTACGTGGCATGTTATCCGCCACCTCCACCATGTCCATTATTTTAGGCATTTTCACTCAGATGTTGGGTGGCAAGTTGGGTAACTGGAGGACTGTGACACTTGTCAATTTGATCTATCCGCTTATATGCTTCCTTGCTCTCTGCGCCGTGCCCGAAAGTCCTTATTGGCTTGCTGGTAAATTTTCTTATTTAATGCTCTTTCACCATTGCATCATTCTTATTAAGTTATTATCAATTAAGAGACGTAATGTGTGCACACAATTTGACGAATAAGTGTATTAAATTTGCAAATGATATTAAATAATGATTCATTGTGCGTTGTAACTATATCTTTTTTTTTTTTTAAGATCAATCTTTGGTACAAGCAAACGTAAAGTTAATCAACGAAAATAAATTTTCTTATTTTTCATTATTGCATTTAAAATATTATTAACATATAGTTATATTGACATTTTTGAGAATGAATAAAAACAAACGATAAACAGATCGTTATTTGGACTCCTTTTAATCGAAAAATCTTTTTATGTATAAATATTTTTTTAAATATCTTATCAAAAAATTATGCGATAACTAAAGTTCATTTTAAATAATTTGACTTATTATATATCCAGAATGTAAGCAAGCATGATGAAGATAGGAGTAAATAGCAATCATAAATTTTCTATTTAAGAAAGTTTTCACAATTTTCTCAATTCTAACTTATTGTCACTCTTGTTATAATCTTATTATAACCAAATATTTAAAAAAATAAGTCTATCTATATCTCAAAATTCAAGTATCGGATGAACTGCAATTGAGATATTAAAAAAAAAGCATCTTTTCAGCAAAAGGGAGGCGGAAGGAGGCAGAACAGGCTCTCTGCTGGCTTCGAGGTTGGGTCAGTCCAGCTCAAGTGAAATCAGAGTTGCAAATTATTTGCGAGGACGTGAACAAACCTGCAGCATCTCAGGAGAAAATATGGAAATCCTACAGCAAGAAAACCTTCTATACGCCCTTCCTTTTGGTGACCAGCGCCTTCTTCATAGGCAATTTTGGTGGCACCAACACCCTTCAAACTTACGCTGTGATGATTTTCATGAAGCTGCACACGCCAATCGAAAAATATACGGCTGCTGTATTCCTCGGTCTAGCTGAATTAATAGGCACGATGATTTGCGTGTTTGTTATTCATTTTTCTGGTAAACGATTATTGTCTTTTCTGTCCGTCGGTGGAACCGGCCTTTGTTTTTGTTTAGCGGCAATTTATGGATATTTGGACAATAGTCGCATCATTAACTCTGAAAATCTCACATGGTTTCCCACTACGCTGCTGATCGGTGCTGCTTTCTTATCTCATGCAGGGATCAGGTTACTCCCTTGGGTTCTGGCTGGAGAGGTTTTTCCTGTGAACGTGAGTTTGTTAAATTCAAATCTAAATTTAATTATTATCCAAAATAATCAAAATTGTAGATGCTGTTAAATTTCTAATTTTAATAGAATTTTTTAATAATCAAATTCTAAGCTTAAAATAATTAAATGAAAAATGAAAACGATTTGATTTGAAAGTATCAATTCTCTGTCGAAGAGAAAATAAAGTTTTAGTTTTATGTTAAATAAAATATCTGGATATAAGGATTAAATTTAATCAAAAAGCAAAAATATATAATTAGATTGTGAATGTTTATGCAAAATCAAATTATATAAATATTTCATACTTTAAATATTTTGTCTTTTTGCATATCATATATATTCTCTAAAAAAAAATTTATAAAAATATAAGAAAACATGCATAGAAATAAGAATGGCAAAGTATCAAAACTATATTTCACATCAAATCAATGTCTTTTCACGAAAATTTCTAATTTTCCTTTTCCTTGCATTTTCGAGATGAGATTATTGTTTGTATGCAAAAAGAGAGAAAAAAGAATTATGGCCAGCTGATTATTATTGTGTAGACGATACTTACAATTTTTTTTTTCTGTAAATTCAAATTTTTGTACAAATATATGAACATCCGTAGCTTATATTCCTCGTAAAATTTCGGAGAATATAATTAATTAGAAGTATTAAACAAATTAAATTGACTAGTTACAAATTTTGTATTCTCGCGAATTTTATGAGACATAGATATTTTTGATAAAATTAAAATTATTTTTATTGATTCAAACAATAAATATAATTATATTAATTTTTTTCATAATAATATATTCTACACATGTACATATGTATAAATTCTTTGCAATATATCCAGGCGGAATTTCAATTATTAATTAAAAATATTCAATTCAGTTTCGTTGAAATAAAGATCTTGATACAAAGATTGCAATTAAAACAATAGCGTCGCATTTTTTAAAGCTAATTTTTTATTTTATTCCAGGTACGAAGCAGCGCGACAGGAATTTCCGGTTCTATAGGCTACATCTTCAACTCTGTCTCAAATAAAATATTCCTCTACATGGTTAATGGAATGTCTTTACCTGGGACGTTTTTCTTCTACGCTTTGATCAATTTCGTCGGTGGTATTCTACTCTATTTTATATTGCCAGAAACGGAAGGAAGATCTCTGAAAGAAATCGAAGAACATTATGCCGGTATCCAAAGTTTGAAAACTAGGCCCAAGAAGGAAAAATTGGCATTCAAGGAAAAATGGGCTGCTGCAAACTCAGCTGTAATATATGACGATATTGAAAGCAAACTTTAAATTTTGAAAGAAGAATAGAGATTGTCAAGTCTCTATTTTTAAACGAATTCAAAAGTTTTATTCCTACCACCGATAGATATGTGTAACGTTTCTATCGGAAGTTCCTTGTTTAGTATAAGTAAATTTAGTTTTAGTTTCATGAACTCTATGAGATCTAAAATATATAAAAATAGCTTGTAAGAGCTTGAAGATACGTTAAATGCACACGTTTTATCCGCATAAAAGACAGTGAATTGTGTAATGTTCATAAATATTTTTGATTTTGATATAAATCATTTGACAAGAATGTGTTCACATAATTAACTTTAAACGGGACACATAATAAAATACAATTTATTTTAAGAATATTTTTAAATAAGACTTATCATTTATTATAAGATAAAGATTTTTATAGAAAAGAAAACATGAAACAAAGAATTAAACAATTTTATGATCTTTTATTCAATAAATTAAAAAATTTAATTGCCGAAATTAGTCGAGAAAAGAATCTTAACCTCATGATTTTTACTCATATTGGACTTTTTCAATCGAAAATTTTTCTTTCGCAGATATTTATTAATATTTGGTTTAAAGAACTGATCGACCACATCCAAAAAATTTTTGTGCTGCAAGATGTTGACGATATTGACGATTTTCCTTGGGATTTTTGGCACTTTTAGATTTCGCGTTTTTAGTCTACGTATATCCTTGTTTTTTAATATTCTCGAAGTACCATTTATGTTCTGATATTTTCTCAAGCTGAAGTGGGATATTTTTAAGGAAATATAATTTAAAAATTTGTCATGCAATGAAATAATGCAAATGAATTTTACGTCGAGATTTGCTTGAGCTTCGCTTCCTCGATATGTTGTCCGGATTGCGATCGTTTTACTACGTGTTTCTCGCAGCTTACTTCGGGCTCTAATACAACTTTTTCTTTTATGTAATTATCACTTGAATTAGGATTCTGAGACATATTTAAATCGTCAATTTTGCAACAGAAACAATATTCATTATAATATATCTTGAAATTTGTAAATAAATTAATATGAAATGCAAACCGTATTATATTTCATAACAAACAAAATTTCGGTTGCTATGCCATCAATTTCTCAAGAATATTTAAAACAATAATTTAATTAAAATCGAAATAACAACGACAAAAAAGTAAAGAAAGAGTTGTCAAAGAATTTTTCATGATACGCATAACATTATCGAGGTTATCCGTATAGTATTACGAAATGGCAATAGATGGCAGTGTTGTATCGCATGTTGTCAAATAATGGATTCCCCACCAATCTCGATGATTCCCTCTCTCTACGCATTCTCACTTTATACTGGAATTAGTAAAAGACTAAAGAAAATATAATATATAAATTATATATATAATATATAAATTTAATAGTTCTCAATTTTGTTTCTTCATTGTATTCAATATAAAGTTAGACACTACGCATATAATTCTTTTCATTTGCCGTACAAAAAACCCTGTCAGAAAGAAAGAACTTGATACAACCATTTGAGAAATAACCAAAATGGATCGCAAAAAAAAAATTCCAGCGTGAAAAAAGTGAAAAAATTATATTAGTGAATTTGAAGTGAATTTAAAAGTGGATTCCGAATAAGCTTTAAATTATTAAATTGTATTTGTAAATATATCTTATTATATTTGTTGATAAGATAGTAAATAATATATAAAATACAAAATCATTACAAAAAATATTTTTAATATTTTACGTGATTTATTAAAAAGAAACAGATTTGTTAAAGGAATAAAAATTATATTTATCTCGATTAAAAACGACATCATAAAAAAAAATAGTTATTTACTTTACCTGTGCCATTGTTGATTATTCATCAATCGCATATAGTTTTGTCAATCGAATTGATTATCAATATTCAATTGATATATTGTATGGTATAAATGCGTCGAAGTTAAACATGTATTCGATTTTGTATTTATGCACGAATATGGCATTTGAAGTATATATATTTTATTAATCAATGTTTTAAATTTATATATCTTATTTGCAAATATTCTAAGCACATACGTTTATTCAAAATATGACAATTCGCGCGTTTCATTCGTAAGAATGTCGGTATCTATATTTCGTTATTACGATGGACGGAAAAAAACTATGATATTATCGTATAAATGATGTTATCTACTACTAAAGATAAATTAAATTTTTGTTTGATACTAAAATAATAGAGATGATTTAATTATTTTCTTTTTTTTTTATTAACAAATCACGAATAGAATTATATTTATAGGAATATTTCATTTTTATTCGTTTATTATTATTTCGTTTTTATTCTGCCAAAAATTAATTAATTTATTAATTTATTTTTAAAATTTTTCTATATTGTTGATGAATTTGATTAAAATCAAGAAATAATACTTTATATTTTTTGTGTTTCTTTTTAAACGGAGTATTCATTTATTAATATCGTATTAGTGTTACATTATTATTAGTATATACATATCTATATAAAAATGAAAGATATAATTTATGCTAAATAAAAATAAAATTTTACTTTCTCTATTAACATGATCTATGGAGTGTAGTGCGTGAATGAACTATAGTTCTATGTGTACAAGATTCCATTTTTGTATGACTAAAGTAATCAAATGTCAGATAAAATCACGAAATGCAAGTCAACAGTCACCTCTAAGGACAACAGATGATAGTTATCGATAATGTGAAATTCAATCAAAGGTAAACTTATTATTTACGAATTACTAATCAATCTTTATAAGAAACTTCTTTTTTTTTTCTTTTTATTTTAATTCGTGTCGATAAAAAGCTTAAAAAATGAAAAAAGAAAAAATAAATATAAACACAATTGTAAATTCGCGCATATTTATGATTCAAAATTTAAATGAAAATTTGATAAAAATTTATATAAATTCTGTGAAAAAATGCATTAAATTATAGGATTACATTAAAATATTAGATTAATTTAAAGCTATTAAAATTATGAAGAAATGAAGGCAAGCGTTTTACGATGACACCAGCAATTAATTGAACAATTAAAAGCAAATGCTACACAGTTTTTATCTATGAATAACAATTTGTCAATTTAAAAAATACACAATCGCAATCAGAATATTCATTACTATGATAATTATGAAGCTGCATGTACCATTTGAAAAAAATAAATGCGCAATCGTATTAGGTTATGTCATTTTTTTTTTATAATTGGCGATACTGGACGATTTGACGGAGTCAATAGCGAATCATAAATAATTACAAATTTGCTCTCAGTCGATTATCAGATGATATCGCTAACGATTTTCTTTGTGAATATTTTTATTTCAAAAATGGGAATTAATATAAAAAAATTATGAAAATATCTTGTCGAATACGAAGATATCGAAAATTAAAGATCTATTTTTGCACAACAGGTTAAAAAATTATATATCATCCTATATCACAAGCAATTCCGTCAATATCGACTCCAACTTTAAAACAATTGCTTTTACATAAGACATCGCATAAACAAATATAGGTCGTAAATGTTTTGTAAAAAATATCAACACCGCCATTATTTCCATATATGTCAATGTCGTAGAAAATACTTATTCAAACTTGAATTTCATTACCAATGATCTTCACAAAAAAACTGTGGTTTTCGATAAAGAACACAACAATAGATCTTTAATAACGTTGAATCAATTGAAAATGATTTCGAATAAACTGATTTCAATCACCGTCAAATCGCGATTTTCCAATTATAAAATTTAATGTTTCTCATGATTTTTTATATTATTAAACTGACCCTAGATAAGAAATTGTTTGAAGATGTCGATAAATATTAAACTCACAGATCTATAGTTCCATTGATGAACGTGGATATGTTGATCAATTTTATGCTGTTTTCATCGGCTATTCTTTTTGCAATGGACTCAAGAGTATCTGTATAAAAACTAAATTATCATGTACGAAATCTTACAGCGTATCGTTGAAGGTCATCAACCTCGCGCTAGTAGAATTATGTGGAGTTATTTTTCACCATTCGAGAAACTAATATGCTCAATACCGTAAAATTTTTTATTAATTCCATAATATTTTTCACAAAACAAAAAATTATCCATATTGAAAACATTTATAATAAATCCAAAATATAGACAAAAACAGATCGCAAATAAATTTATCAATCCAACTGATTTGATATCAAAAATTACATTCGAAAAATAAATCTCGAGAACATTTTCTCATCAGGCAAAGAATAATGGAAAATAAGTAAATCATTTAAATACATTTTATCAAGTGGAAGAAAAATTGTTTACGAATAATTAATAGTTCAATTTGCGATCAAAATTGAAACGATATTAAACTTCTGTCTATTGATTTCTCTATCATCCATTTTCAATGATTTTTCAAAATGTTATTCCCGTTCATTTTTTGATTTTTTTGACATTTCTTTAATGAATGTGTTTCTAGACTAATTTCAACAATACTACAATGAGTTATTAAGCAACACATTTAAAAGATTAAATAGAACTGCGTTATCAGATGGATCTATTCAATCCTGTAGTCAAATCTTAATGTAATCAGATTATAATCGATTAGTAAGTTATACCTTAGATCCATGAGTCCAGATTATAATTGATTGGTAAGTTATATCTTAGATCTTACTCAAGAAATTCATGTAAAATGGGCATTCTCTGAAGAATGTCTACATGAAAAATACTACTATTTGTATGAACAGATTAATGATTTTTGTTTCTGTAAAAAATATAGAAGGCCGCTGCCGCTGATCGTGACAAAATATTGGAACACAGCTACCATCATTGAGAAGTTAAAAGAAATATATTTGTTCATCTACTATTATTAAAGGAATGATTCATCAAAACTAAAAAATTTATTATATTATTTACGTATAAAGAATAATTTAAGTTTTATATTAAATTTAATTCATCCATATATTTAACGTATCCATAAGTATATTTCGAATTTATAGAAATTATAAAGATTCAAAATTTCCATGTAATTTTGATGAAATTTTAATTTATTGAATTTTTTATTTTATTATAATTATTGTACAAAATAATTATAGGAATTTGTAACGTTAGATAAATGAATATCAAAGCCTTCCTAATTTATTTGTTTATTTATTAATTTAATATTAGTTTTTAATATTAGTTTTTAATATTAGTTTTTCTTAATAACTTTCATTATTTGTTATTATTCATTTATTAATTTGATATTATATAAAAATTATCTTCTTTAAGATGAAAGAATTTTTTCTATTAAAAATTTCTTTAATAATAAAATAGTAATAAAAAAAATTTTGTAATATAAATACTTATATATTATTTTTGAAATAATTTTTTAAATATTGATCTATGAAATAAACAGCA